TACAATCTATTTAATTTGAAATTTACAGCCTTATTCTATATCACGAACGATAGGCAACACGAACGATTCGTCTGCAGAGGAAGGCTTTAAAAATTAGTCCGGCGATATAATTCTATCCGTTTTAAACGCTACCGAGAACATTGCAACGTAATATATGAAAAGCAAGACCAAGAATTTTGGTATAAAACAAAGAAATTCAAGAAAACTTTTTCTCCAATATATTTTTGAAGAGGGTGGTCACCTGTTTAAAAGTCAACTTTAATTTACTTAATAACCTAAATAATTTAAATATTACATTAAGGTTTACAACAAATTGCTAGGTTTCAAAAAAAATTTATAAATACATTTTTTGCTTAATGTTAAATAAAATATAACAATGTGGCACTGAAACGAATCTAAAATTATATTCATACATATAAAGCCTATCTACGAAAGATGAGTTGATCTTCACACTATTTAAAACGGCTATTTTAGTTAAAATTTGGCACAAACATTGACTATATTCTGAGATAAAATTTGTATCGCCGAAGCCCTAGGAATTAGAAATATGAAGAGTACCACGATTAAGAAAATCATCTGAGCAAGAGCACCAAAGTGATCAGCAGAATTTTATAGCTACATACTTTGAAATAAATGCTTAGATATTTTTAAATAAATATTGTTTATTCTTCAAAGGAACCTAAATGAAATACGTATACGTATGAGCAAAACAATTAAAATTAACAACCAAGTTTTTACAACTTCTGAATATTTTGAGTTTTTTTTAAGCTATTAAATTGCATATAAATTTAAAATATTAAAAGCTAATTATACATACATAGTTCTAATTGCGTGCAATTAAAAAGCTTTTATGAACACATATGTATATACATTAGGGAGCCCCGTAGATAATTTGCAGGTTTCCCTAACTGATTCATAAATTTTGTTAAATTTAATAAAATTTTATTTGCTTGGCAACGGTTTCGAAGAAGCGTGTTTTTTCCTACAATAAATTTACAGTTGGATATATTTTTCTGGTAAATGTGAGATTTAATATACCTTAATGTACAAATAGATATACTTATCCAATTTCATGCATACATATGTACATACATACATACATATGCATCCGCCGTAAAAATTATTAGCTTCATTGAATGCAAAAACATTAAAAGTTGCTGTACTGTATTTGCGAGAGTTTTCCTATTCTTCGATTCATTTTTATATTTTCTTTTTCAACTTTCCATTGATTAATTGGCAGTTTAGTCAACAGATTTTGGCAAACACAGTTCTGCTTTTAAATGATTGTAATATTTCAACTGGTGTATATTTTACGAAGTGTTTAATGCCTGTCATTTCTCAAATATATGAAAGATTTTTAAAATCACAAATCTATTTTTCTCTTGGAGTTTATAAAAGTTAATCAAACACTTAAAATTTTTTGTATACATATTGCTTAGGCCGCATTGTTAGAAAATCGAAAAATATGTACTACATATGTTCAGATTTGTTTTGCACAGAGTTAACGGGGAAAATTTATGGGCCGAGTATCCATATGTGAATCAGCGTTGAGGCGAAAAGAAATTGGGTAATATTTGATGATTATGATGATAATGAAGGGCGATAGAAGGTGTATTATATGCTACAAACAATTGTGTAAAAATGATCGCTTGCGAAGGTAATGGAGGCTTTACAAATAAGGTTTTACTGAACTTAACCAAACAATATTTGTGGCTCAACATAAAGGCTGAACACTTCTAATTATTTAGAAAAAAAGTGAAGCGGCATACACGGTGCGTCTGACTCGCGTGTATGCCGCCTATGAAAAGTGTTCGATGCTTAGAAGACCTGGGATATATTTTTCAGCTTTAATTACTTTGTGACCAACGAAAAGGACCAACAATAAACCCAGACCACCCAGATACCACATCCACAGTTGTGAGCGCCCAAGAGGCAAGCTTAAAAATTAGTGAAGCTGGCCAGAGTATACAAAAATATCTGCTTAAAATTAGATCACATAAGAAAAGCTAAGAGAACCCCATGATAAAGCTTCTGCGGCAATGTAGTGAG